ATCTATATGATAGAATAATCTTCATTTTATTCGTTCGGCAGGAATACTTATTGGCTCGAATATTAGGAAGCTATAGAAGAGTACAGTCTTCGAAAGCAATCTTTTGCCAAAGGAACAAGTTGCCTGGAGATGCGTTAAAGATCTGATTCATAATTGTTTTGGAACAAATCGGTCTCCAAGATTCCGATCAATTATTGAAAGTATGATAATCGCGTTCAACGATGCGATATAAATGTGCACATGTCCCTAAAAATCCATTTCCTGTATTGCCATCTCGATCAACTCGAAAAACAATTGAGCACCGAAACTGATGAACACGACGAAAGATTCCATCAGATTGCTGCACCATTTGAAGCTTGGTATGCAGGAAAAAAATGTTATATCTGTTATGCTGGAACTTAGTTGAAGCCTAGTAATTAATAGTTACAATTTTGGTTTTATTGAGCATTCCCCATAGCTTTAGATCTTTAGAGTGGGTACTTTATAAGGAAAATCACCAAAATGAGGTATAATAGTATGTGTAATGTGTAGGAGTGCGGTCGTATTCGACCAACTGTTCCGAACCCATCATTAGGATGGTTTGAATAGAATGAATTGGATGAACAGAATGAATGCAGTTATCCTTTGTAGTTGAAATATAAACTGTTCGAATGTTTACATATAAAAAGGCCTTTCAATAAACATCTGTTTAGTTTTTACTAGAACTCAGAACAAGAGACTAGACTTATTTTATATACTCCGCGTCGAAAGAAGTCCCTATAGTGAACACAGTTAAATAACGGTTGGTACTGTGAAGTGAATTTATTTGGATTTTATGTTTTTGAGAAGGGGTACCCAATTTTAAAAATCACCCAAACGAGGGGTAAGACGGCGATATATCGTTTTTAAATATTCTAGAAAAATGTTGCCCTAAGCGTTTCTAACCAAAAACTATCAGACAGCAATATCGTAACATGCTTTAGTTAGGCAGCATACGACCATCATCGGGACAACATACCATTCATACCCAATTCATATAAAGGGTGGTACAAAAAAATAGGTCGTGTTAGGGTATAAGTATGTTCTAGACTTTTAATCAGAGGACAAGAAGAAAGTCGTGTTATTCTTATAATCAGGGAAGACCGGTAATATTATTAAAATTAATAAAATAACAATAAAGTATGATTAAGGTCATCGAATTTAGAGTGTTTTCATTCTTTTGGGTTGTTAAAATAATTACTATATGAAAATCTCAACATACCAGCACATACTATGTTATTTATAGTGAATTTTCATGAATTCTAGATTTTTAGGGCAGTACCCAATTTGAAAAATTACCCAAACGAGCGGTAAGACAATGAGATATCGTTTTCAAATGTTGTAGAAAAATGTTCCTCGGGTAATTTTCTAAAAAAAAAACGACTTCTGAACCATTCATGAATAGGGCGGTACCAAAAACTTAGGACGTGTTAGAGTATAAGTTTGTTGGAGACTTTTACTCAGGGGACCACGAGAAAGTCAAATAAAGCGAATTTTCCCAGTTCTAGAAAGGCTTGTTACACAGTGTTGTTATTATTATTATTTATTATTATAATAATTATTTATTATTATTATTATTAACACATTATTTCAAATTTGAATTGAAGTTTTCCCGAGAAAATCACGCGGCAAAACACAAATACGTCCATTTAGCAGAGCGGCCAACTTTGATCTTTAGTGATTTTTCTTTTATAGATTTTTAACCGGCATCCTAAAAAAAAATCTGATCACAAATTGTTGGTTACAGATGCCCTCTGAAACCCCTAATGTCTCCGGTATCCGGTGGCTATGGTTATTTCCGTGGCCACACCATAACATTATATTAGTTTTCCAGTCGAATGCTTTGGGAAGAACTAAAATCGGACCATTTTTAACAAAGCTACAACCACAGACAAACATACATAACACATTGAATATTTCTCACTGTAAAACATCGTCGCTGAAACATTAGCGCCATCTGTTGAGTACACTGTGGTGGGTAGTACGCTGAACAGATGGCGGTAGTGTGCAAACGTCAAACGCAAGGAAAATGACTATGCACGTCACAGGTGGCGGTACTACCAACTACGATACTTTTAAATTAACCGTTAAATGCTTATTCGATTAACAACTTACGAGTGTTATGTCTGTTTGTCTGTGCTACAACAATACAAAGTTGACCAAAAATTTGCCTTTCCTAGTTATTTTGAGTATCCCTGTATGCACCTTATCTGAAGTACAGAGGAAGATTTTTCGGCTTAGCAGTCAAACAGCAATTAAAACGATTACTGTTTCGACGTCCACCATTGCACAGTAGTACAGAATGCAGATTTAGGTGGAATGATATGTTTTGAGCCTGAAATTGAAACTTTAGACTAAAAGTCTCTTCTACAAAGTTGTTCCTTATAGTTAGGCCCTCATTTTTATGACAATGAATTCTAGGGTGGTTCCTATTATCATTTAAATCAAAAATCTAACTTTTTTGTTTGAATAAATTAAGATATACATTCTTCGGCAAAGTTATAGCTGAGCTAATTTCAAGCAACTTTGTTGAAAGTAACTTTTTTGTATCTCTTAAATTGGCCGATTCACAGCTATTTTCTTGAATTGAGTTAGGGTGGCTCTTAAAAAACAGGTTTTTGGTTTATTTTTCTTATTTTGAATTTCTCAGTAAAGGTGTCTTCAGATAACTTTTAGATCTTAAGAAGGCGCAAATGTTTGCTGCACAAAACTTGTCAATATCTTTCGCCGATCAAGAGTTATTGACGTTTGTATACTAAAAATATACACTTTCCAAATGTTAATATTTCTGGTTGGGGCAAACAAAAAAAAAAAGTTTTTTTGCAGCATTTGAAAGGGCGTATGTTATTCTCAATAATATGAAAAAATTGGAGGTATGTTATTTTTTAAACTTGTATAAAATCAATTTGAATTTATTCATATTTTTTACTATATTTGAGTACACTGAAGTCTTTTTTTACACGGTTTTTTTTTACGCGGTTTTTTTTTACGCGGTTTTTTTTACGCGGTTTTTTTTACACGGTTTTCTACGATTTACACGGTACGTTTTTAACGATTTCTCGACAACGATACAGCCTATCGACTTGATTCCAATCACATTATCCGTTTCAAGCTATAGGTAATCGTATGGCATACTTAAAATAAAATCACAATTTTTGGAGTAAATACAGAAATTCTTAAAATATGTCTATATGGACCATATCATGCTTTAATTACAAATGGCATCAAAATCCGATTTTTTAAAAACATTTAAGCATGCGAAAAATCAAAATCTCGTAGGTTTTTTTTACACGGTTTTTTTTACACGGTACGTATCCCCCGTGTAAAAAAAGACCTGAGTGTATATCTTTTTTATTAGAAGAGATACAGGCAACAAGTTCAACTATAAAACATTCGTCTTGAAGTGTTTTAAAAGTCTCTAGAAGATAACATTCATGAGAATTTTCAAATAAAAAAGTAATTGCTAAAAAACTATTTTTTCCAGGAACACCCTAAGTCAACTCCGAAAAATTACTCTAAAATGAGAACGTTAAGAGATAGAATTTTTTTTTTCGACAAAGTTGCTTGCAAGTAACTTAACTACAACTTTGTTGAACAACACATGTTTATATTTTGTAGACAAAAAAGTTAGTTTTAAAAATTCCCTAATTTGAGGACCACCCTGACGTTTGCAAACACCAAAAGAAGGGAATTTTTAAGAACAAAAACTTCTTCGAAGACACTAAATGTCCAAATATTGAAACAAATGTACTAGCACATTTTATATAAATTGGTCATTAGAGTGGTCCTATGAAATCCATCTTTTGCCAATAACTTTTTTATTTGAAATTTATCATGAAAGTCATCTTCTAGAGACTTTTAAAACTCTTTAAGACAAATGTTTTATATCTGAATTTGTTGCCTGTATCTCTTCTAATAAAAAAGATATACTCAAATATAGTAAAAATATGAATAAATTCAAATTGATTTTATACGAGTTTAAAAAATAACATACCTCCAATTTTTTCATATTATTGAGAATAACATACGCCCTTTCAAATGCTGCAAAAAAACTTTTAATTTGTTTGCCCCAACCAGAGATATTAACATTTGAAAAGTGCATATTTTTAGTATAAAAACGTCAATAACTCTTGATCGGCGAAAGATATTGACAAGCTTTGTGTAGCAATTAGCAATTTGCGCCTTCTTAAGATCTAAAAGTTATCTCAATACACCTTTGCTGAGAAATTCGAAATAAGAAAAATAGAGCAAAAAAACTGTTTTTTTTAAGAATCACCCTAACTCAATTCAAGAAAATAGCTCTAAATCGGCCAATTTAAGAGATACAAAAAAGTTATTTTCAACAAAGTTGCTTAAAATTAGCTCAGCTATAACTTTGCCGAAGAATGTATACCTTAATTTATTCAAACAAAAAAGTTAGATTTTTGATTTAAATGATAATAGGAACCACCCTAGAATTCATTGTCATAAAAATGAGGGCATAACTATAAGTAACAACTTTGTAGAAGAAACTTTTAGTCTAAAGTTTCAATTTCAGGCTCAAAACATATCATTCCACCTAAATCTACATTCTGGACCACTGTGCATTGAAACGTTGGATCTATGTCAAGCTAGAAGAATGGACCGATGTCCTCTATAATATGGAGTGTTGATTTCCATTTCACATATTTGAAGCGTTATCCTCAACTGCATGGAGTGAAATATTGCAATAGATGATATCGTCAAATTTGGGAGTGAAGAGTGAAATATTCACTAGTGTACCATTTCATAAGATGTGAAACAAAATTACACCTTATAATTGGGTCCGTTGCTTTTGAAAAAAAAAATTAGATTTATGTATACAGGTCAATCGTGCAGGAATACATTTTATCGATTCCAAAACAGTTTCAGATGATCCTTTCAAAATTAAAGCTATTTTATACTGCCACCGAACATATAATTGGTTATGTTCAAAGCGAACAAGTGAAAGTAAATTATCTTACCTCCAGGCCTACAACGGAAACTGCCAGCCCAAACAGGATCACAATGCCGCAGATAATCAGACAGCTCTTCACCGTTTTCCGCTCCACACATTCCTTCGGTAGAGTTCCCAAAGCATTCGGTGCACTAAGAAACGGTTTCAACGACTCGGCAGTCATTGTCGTGTTTGTTTGCATAAATTCTTTTTTTCAACGAGTAAATTTTTCAACCAATGTACTGTAACAATCACACTATTGCGAAATTTTACTAATCAAAACATTGCACTTCGGAAATCGCTACTTTGATTCACTGCGTGTGGCGACTGTAAGCCGGTTCGAATCCAAACAACTTGCAATTGCACTTTTCAATGATCAGAATGTTTGCATTTCTTCGAAGTCAAACAACCGCTTTGGATTCTTTTAGAGGGTTCGGTTTGGTGAAGCACGCGCGCGCAAGCAAGCGAAAAAGCGTTTAACCGTCGTGAACGGTAGCGTTCTACTGACCAACGATCGCGGTCGGGGCAGGCTTCTTAGTAGCAGCGCACAGCTACTAGAAGTAAAGTACCTACTACTGAGAGAACGATCATTGGGTGTGTTTACTCTCTTGATTAGTCTCGCACGGGATCCGCTGTCCCGCTCCTTCCGCCCACTACTGATCTGTTTATTATATGAACTTCTAACAGTGAGTAGAGGAGCGAGAGATACAATGGCACCAAGCTGATGACGATACTATGGACTCTGCGAGTGAGCAAGGAGTTCATTCATCATATTATTCGATGCTATTATTTTTGGATTTTTGTTTTGGCGTGGTGCGATGAAGATGAGGAAATTAAATGGGTAAACAATGTTGTTTTTAGAGGAATTTCTGAGTTGATGGCTTGAGCAGTGGATCGCTTGACGATTGCCATGTGCATACTATAGGTACTGAAATACATTGAACTGGGAAGAAAATTCAATTCCGATTGCGTGTCGGATTTGATTGAGCCTAAAATGGGGAACAGCAATATTAAATTTGACGCTTTCGACAAAGTTGTAGAGGAACTGATTTGAAGCAACTTTGCTGAAGAAAGTAATTTTCTATCTCTTTTCGATTTTCAGTGAATATCGTTTATAACTTTTCAACAAATGGGTTAGCACCTAAAAAGTGTCTAGATCATATGTTTTTCGATAAATCAATGCAGAAAAGTTACTGATTTAAACCCGATTTTTAGGGGCCACCCTAGGTTAAAGGCTGACTATGGAAATTGCCCAGTATTTTTCGGTTGGTCGAAATTCCGGGCAATTCGGAGGATTCATTAGCTTGAGGACAAAATCGATTCTGTTGAGAGCATACCACTCCAGAACCACCTTGGAGTAGTGGCAGCTGGAAAAATCGGACCAAAAGATGACTTTGCCCCTATGCTTGCGGATGAACGGCAATACACGCTTTTTCAGGCATTTTTTGATGTAAACTTGGGTTGTCATCGTCGAGGATATGATGAATGGTTCCGTTTTCAGGCCACAACTGCAAATCACTTGCCAAATCATGGCCTTCTTCGCGAACTTGTCGGCAAACACGAACAGTGAGTCTTCCCAGCACATCCCCACGTCCAGTCGCGATGTAAAACTTTTGACCGGGAAGCTGCTTAAAATTGAGTTTGACGTATGTTTCGTCATTGATCAAAGTGCAGCCCTTGGGTATCGCCAAAACACGGTCGTACAAGAGCCTTGCACGCTTTTGGCCACGGAATCCTGCTTCATGTGCCGGTTCGGATGTTTACTGGCTTTGTACGACTTGAATCCTTTCCTGGAAAGTTGGCGTTTTGCCTTCTGGCCACATCTGGGATCGAAAGTCCGGGGTTGGCTTTAACGAACCTCAACACCTTGCTGACGATCCCTGGTTCCAGTTTTTTGTAGATCCGCTGATTCCTTTCCACACTCAAGGTTTCCTTGTAGGTTTTGAGCACTCGACCAACTGTTTCGGCATCTTCAGCACTTTAGCCAGCTTGGAACCAGACCACTCCGGATTTTCCAGGTGTTTGTGCACAATATTTTTCTTCTTTCGAGTTGTTTCAAATAACATGTTATAAGTTGAAGACGCTATGTTTTAAATGACAGACTTAAGTCATAGAGGTAACTCTAAGACCAGAAGGTCCCGAAGAAACGAGCTCAACTTTTTTCTCAGCTCTGGTACTATATTCGGTCCCAAGCTAATCGATTCACCCCTCGAAACATAAGAAAATCCACGAACCCCTCATTTTATCTGTCAAACTTTCATAGCGAATCAAAACAAACATAGTGTAGTACTAGAATTTCGACTAGAATGGGATATGTTAATCGTTTGCTTGGGACAAATAGGCTAGTCAAGTAGTGAGCCAATTTAAAATCGTTAGTTTCGTATTGCTTGTTGCTTAAGTGGTCATTTTATACGATAGATGAGGAGATGAAAGTATAGAGTTGATAGTTCAACTAGAGTACGCTGCCGGTAATCGCAAGTCAGTCCCATCTGCATTTTTATCAATTTTGAGTTTGCATCATTAATCAGTTTATTTTTTATGTTTTTGAGATGTGCTATTGAAAAAATGTGGTTTGTTAAAGAAAAATGAAAAACAATACCAAGTCAAACTGTCCCACAGTGAAAAGTAACCACAAGTCAGTCTCATTAGAAAATATAGGATTTCATTAAATAAACTATAAAACAACGTCACAGATTTTGTTTTAGGATTGCTTCTATAGAATTAAAATAGTTAGACAACACATCGCATCATGAGATTAGTCTCAAGACAGATTTTGTCCACGTTTCCTAGGGTATCTAGAACATGTCCGGATGTGGCCAATACAGCTCTTACGATAGTCAGTTTGACCGCCAATGGATATGGGTCATGGCTTTGAATTCTCATGTGATTTGATGTATCGCTTGATAGATTTTGATTTAAAAATGGATTTACCACTTCCTCGGGAATACCCGGAACATGTCCGGGTGTGGTCAACATGGTGGTGGTCACTCATCATGACTCTTATTGCTCTTATTATTGAATTATCATGTCAATTGATTTAACGCATGGTGGGTTTGGCACGTTTGGCTCTGGTCTGATGAAGACCCATACTCACCGGAAAATGTTCCGGCCATTGCTCTGGAACCAGCGGAACAAATCCAGAAACATACAAAAACGTTCTATGGGACCATGGTATCTACCTACTGTTCAATACTGTGCTTAACTAATGTAGCATCGTCATGGAATTGTGACTGACTTGCGGTTATTTTTCTCATTGACGTTAAATGTAATCGCAAGTTAGTCCCACTCAGATTTTGACCATAAAATAAAAATTTCACGAAATTTTATTAAATATTTTTTGGTAAATATAGATGCATTCTATCACATTGTACGTTTATTTTTAAATTTATCCCTCTAAAATAAGTGTCAAATAAGAAAACTTGTAAAATCTGACTTGCGATTATGGGCAGTACGGTCGTGTGAAAATTGTATATAGAGAATAGAAAGTGAGCAAGGACAACCTTGAGGAAGGTACGAATCGGGTCGATCATCTCTCTTTACCAAACTCCCCAGTTGGAGAGGGATGGTGAGCTATGTTCTTTAACTATTTATGTTAACGAAGATAACGATTTTACATAGTTGAAGATGCTAATTTCAGACCGACATAATTTTGAAATTGCAATTTATAGCGATTTCAATGAAGAACCACCAACCCCCGACTGAGTTCCGGCAATATTTCTTAGAGTTTCTGGAAATGCCAATGGACACCCTGCAATAATATTTGGGATAGAATACAATTGGCTTCAATCCGAAATAATTTAAAAAATTGAAATTTTCAATATTTTTATAGAGAACTGATAACTCTCTTTTGGCATTTCCAAAAACTCGGAAAAACTCAGAAATGAGTCATTTCAAATGACCAAAAGAACCATCCGACAAGGTTCTATACAGAGAGGCATCGGTTCTGCATGAAAATGCTGAAAACCGCAGTTTCAAAATTACCTTGGACTGAAATCACAAATATGCCAACCCTTATATCATTCAAATATTTAAATCTGGAATGGCAAAGCCGAGTGATTTCTAAAATAAATTAAATAAGTATAACGGTACATACAAGTCTATGCTACAAACAACTCATGAGGATTGAGATTCAATTTAACTTATAAATATTTCAATCTGAAATTGCAAAGCCGGGTGATTTCGTCGATTTCTAATGTGAATTAAATTAGTCTAATTATTTTCAAAAATACCCTCATAGTCCATGTTTCAAATATGCGGATTTTTTTTTACAGAATAATCTCAATTGTTTTTGGAAGTTCTCATTGATGTTCAATTTGATTTATAAAAATTAGGGTATACGTCCCTAACCTCGGTCTAATATGCAGCCATCGATTACGTTTTTAATCATAACTCATCAATGAATTTACCTGCAAACGATATTCTACTGCTAAATGGTATGCTTAGATATGCTTATCATGTCGTTTGCTATCAGGAACCGCAAAAAGTTGAAAAACTTACTTTTTTTAAGACAAAAACTCACCAGGGAAATGTATGTAATATCGGTCTATTGTCCCCAAATTGGGTCTATTTATGGATGCAACTTCGTCCTATCCTGTTTGATTCTCAAAAAAAACGCTCTTGGTAACGTTTTCTTATGTATTTTTTTTTATCACTATCACTGTTAACTTAATACTCTTCATTCCTCAAAACATTTCTTAGAGAAAATTTTACGAAAACTACATTAAATCACTCAAGTTAAAAATTAAAAATTAAAAATTTCGCTTATCGTCTTTCGACCGCAGAATATCTAAATCAAAACATTGTGATGTTCATTATACAGGTTTGGCAGAAAAAATCTCCCTTCCTGTTCGTTCCTTATCATCCAAATGCAAAACAACATTGTTGACGTTACTCTTATTGCTATATGCTGTCAAATGAATTTCATGGGCCATAGTTAGGAACATAGAAAAGAAATGTGTCCCTAAAGTTGGGTCCATGTTTTACTTGTGAAAACGTTGTTAAACAATTAAAATAAACATAAAATATTCAAACAGCAACTGTAAGTTTTACGTCTAGTGTGTATTATCAGGTAATTCCAATCAATAAATGCCATAATCAGGCCATTTGATGATCGTCAGTCAACCTTCCCATCTTAACCTTATAAGTCATGGCGGCTAAAAACTCCGAACATTGTGATATTCTCAACCAGTTTTATTACTTACGAGAGCTGAAAATGTATTGAAATGTTGTGATATAAATTGATTTGTGTGTGGTACACATTTATCAACCATCAGTGATCAATATTTTCCTTATTTTTTGTGTAATATTCCTTAATTAATTATTTATTTGCGTGATAGGCCGAATGAAAGGACTAGACCCACATTACATACCGTAACCCTACAATCTGAATTTCCAAACTGATTTATATTATACCCCGTTCACATTACAACGTGTATCACGTGATATACGCTGTCTTGCAATGAGCACTCATACATCTAGTTTTCACTGGAAATCCTTTGTATGAGTGTTCATTGCAAGACAGCCTATATTACGTG